AAAAACCGAAATAAAGCATACATGCACAGTTTCGGTTGAAACCGAAATAATGTCTAAATGCACAGTTTCCATATGCGCAATTTCGGTGCCCCCCCGTCACGCTTGGAAAATGTTAAATTTCTGTGTAAATTATATAATTAAATTTTATACTTTGTCAGCTTCATATTAAACTGATATATGACTTCAAGTGTTAACAGTTTGACACTTGTCAAATCAATGTTTAAAGAGAATTTACTAAAAGTTTGAGGAGAAACGAGTTAAAATGTCCCACCCGTCACTTTGGAATGCCCCGTTTGTTATTTTATTACATATACATACATTGCCAATCAGTGATTTGTTCTGATTACATTCCTTTTAAATTACTGGACTCTTAAATTAGCTCAGGAATGTTTTTACTCTTCAATTATTTCTTGCTAAGTATGTTGAATTTTTTATTTTGTATGATACCCGTATTGATATACATATTTCAGTTACCCTATTCCCTTAATTAAAGCGAATTTGGTTTTTGAAACATGTGGCAACCCTTCTACGTGTCGTTTAGAAGTAAAGCATTTTCAAGACCATTTCAAAGATTTCAACTGATACCCATATTGTAATATCTAATTCATTTAACTTAATAAATAATGCAAATAAAATATGTCGGCCGCTGTGGTGTAGTAGTAAGCAGTGCGCGCTTCCACTGCGCAGCACCTGGGTTGAAACCCTGGTTAAAGCAACATCGCAAAAAATATAGTAAAAAGGTTTTTTCTTAACAGCAGTCGCCCCTCGGCAGGCAATGGCAAACCTCCGATTGTATTACTGCCATGAAAAACAGCTTCTCATAAAAATACCATGACCGTTCGGAGTCGGCGTAAAACTGTAGGTACCACCGCTTTGCGTGACAACATCACGGCGCACGCCACAAGTCGGAGGAGAAGCTCGGGCAAACACTAACATATGTGTAAGCGCTAATCTATCATTATTATTAAAATATGTAACAGAATGAATTATATGTACATACCAATGTCAATGCTTCTTCATTGGAAATGGTTTTTACGTGGCGGGTCCCAAACCCAGCGCACAACCCATTGCTGGGACGGGGATGGTTTCGCAACCAAATACACGTTTAAATAGCGAGCCGATTGCTCCAAGAAGACACCCGCTTGCAGCCGTACCTACTGGTGAACAGACGCTGCAGACTTCAGTGAGCCCTTAAACCCAATAAGTCGGAGTGGCCCCACAGAAGCTCCCTCTCTTTCTGCCGTGACCCAAGGCTCCACTCGGATTGGTTAGCGTATCTCGCACATGGGTTGCTCCGGATTGAGTATAGCCGTGCAACAGTAACTGCATACCGA